AAAGACGCAAGCGTGGTTTGCAGGACAGGTAATAAAGATGTAAACAACTCCCATTTTTTTTATTGCAGTTTAACTAAGCAATGTTACTGCACGATTATTTACACTAAACGTCCAAACAAAGCACTTATTAAGTTTACCCCTGACTCTTACGCTCTTCCTCTTTTTTTTCGACAGCTCGTTTGGTTGAAGGAAAATCAGCCCGAGAAGGGCTGGTACAAGTTTACCATAACAACACTTGGGGCTGGATTTGTGCTGATCAGTGGGACAAACACGATGCTGATGTGGCTTGCAGAATGATGGGCTTTGATGGAGCGTTATCAGCATTCCTGTACAGAGAAAAGAGAAGGACGAGAAAGAGCAGGGTGTGGTTGAAGAACTTGAGATGCACTGGAAACGAAAGTTCCTTATTTGAGTGTTCTCATGAAGGTCTCGGGTCACACAACTGTGAGGGGGAAAGGAAAGCTGGTGTGCTATGCCGATCAAAAGGTTTGAAGGGAACAAGACAATTAAAGATGTTAAATAGGATTTATTTCTATCTACTAAAGTACAAATGTTCTGTTAGGAATTTACAAGAAAACTGTTTTACCCATATTCGATTATGGTTGTACAGTTTAGGGAGAATGCAGAATGCGCTACGGTTGGAGCGTTTTTAGAATCAAGCAATGAGTATCATTGCTGGTAAGCCTTTGCGAGCCAGCACTCTTTTCTCTACAATAGCGGAAAAAAACAAAATTTGTCAGATATAAGATCAGAAGCATGCATTATATTGCTAATCACCGGTTTATACTAGCTGTTCCTTTGTGTTCAGCTCATCGGTTTTTACCAGGATAAATAATAGTAGTAATAATAATAACATTTTTGTTATTAGTAGTGGTGGTATTATTATCTTTATTATTATTAAAACCACTACGTTAGGTAGTAAATTAATTTGTGAATGTACTCGTAGGCCATTATTTCCAACCCTTCCCCTGGTAGTGATTTAGTTTCTTTATGAGATCGGACCCATGCATAAATTCACCGAAGTAGTTTGACTAATTAACCAGAAAGTCTCTGATTTCTGCACTAAAACAATTAAAGCTACCGCTAACTTTTCTTTTCACGACAGTTCGATTGGTTGTTGGAAGTATTGTGGCGTCGCAAGGCCGAGTGGAAGTGTTTTATAGTGGAACTTGGGGAAGAGTGTGTTATGATTTCTGGGATTTAAGGGATGCGAATGTGGTTTGTAGTCAGCTTGGCTTTGAAGGAGCTTTGTCAGCTACATCAAGTGCAAGTTTTGGAAGGGGAAAAGGAAATTTATGGATGGACCACGTAAACTGTACAGGAAATGAGAGTTCGTTAACAGAATGTGAACACTCCGCAGGACCACTCAAGTACTGTCGTCGTAATAAACTCGCAGGTGTGGTTTGCAGGACAGGTAAGGTTAAAACACTTCAGAATATTATTATTTTTAACCAAAAAACCTTATTGATCATGATACTAAACTTTAAAAAATGAACTAGAACGCGTATCCTTGATTCTCGTGCTATTTTATTTTTCATTTAGCTCGTTTAGTTGAAGAACGATCACCCCGAGAAGGACTGGTACAAGTTTACCACAACAACACTTGGATCTGGGTTTGCGCAGATCAGTGGGACAAACACGACGCTGATGTGGCTTGCAGAATGATGTACTTTGATGGGTCTTTGTCTGCGTTTTCTAACAAATTCGGACCGACAAAACCTGTTGTATGGATCAATAAAATGCAGTGTACAGGAAACGAAAGTTCTCTCTTCTCATGTGAACATGGTGCTTTGGGAACTCATGACTGCAAGGATAAAGCTGGTGTTGTATGTCGACCAAAAGGTAAAATAAAAGCAGAAAGTAACTTAGCCATAACGACAAAAAAAAATTTTATGAAATATTTCATATTTTATCAGCCATAAAGGTACAGTTAACACTAGGCTGTCTGTCTGTCATCACGCTGTTCAGATCACACTCCGCTGGTTTAAACCTTCTATGGAAAAACAAAAACCATCATAATTTTATATTTTTCCTTATGGCGTTCCTTCTTCAAAAGGTAAATACGTTATATGCGTTTCTTTGTTTGAACGTTCTGAGTTCCAAAAACCTTCTCTCTGGGTAATAAAGTGTGTAAACGGGGCAACGACCGACAAACATCAGCTACATAGATCGGAAATTAAACGCTGCTTTAAAATTTTTGAGGTCCGTTTACCTTCAAAGACCATATCGGTAATGATTTTTTTGTATTTTCAAACGTTCTCGCCGATAAGACACCAAGTTCACTCAAGTTATGCCATTCTGCTTGAGTCTTCAAGATCACGCCTTATCCAATCGCTGAACACCCTGATCAGATTGCTAATACAAGAGGATCGCTGTACGAACATCCTAGCGCGTTAATATTGATTCAAAATATTTCGCCTGCCATCGTTTCAGGGCCAGGGCGCGTCAGCCGAGCTGCTTGGGCAGGAAGTGAACTCAAGAAAATGGCGAAAGAGTTTAAGTATCGATGGGGAGAGAGATGGCAGACTAAAATGCTTGCCAGACTCGCTTTGAGGAACTGCTCATGGGTTTGAAGATCAGCTCCAACACGACACTCTCGATTCACTTTCACATCATTGACGCCCTTGATCTGCGCACTTTCACCTTTTTTTCTATTCAGTAACCTTCACTCACATGGTTTTTTCTATAGTTCCAGGAAGGCTATGTTATATGAACCCACCTATGGCTTCTTTATAGGCTTCCTTGTCATTACCACTTTGATAATGTATTTAGAATAGTGTAATACTATATTATCTTTAATGTATTATAAATTTATTGTATATTGTTGTTGTATTTATTTAACAATTAGTCGCCGAAGGCGACGTGAATATCGGCGATTAGTAAAATCCAATTAGTGGTTGTCTATTATCAATGCTGCGTTCTGATTTGTTGAGCTACTACTAGGCTATATGTTATAGCCCACTAGTAGCGCAAAGCGTTGGCTTTTTGGCGGCAAACAAGGCTTAAAGTCTAGCTTTAACTAGCTAAAGTTGTTTTGTCTCGATATTTTTGACCAGCTCTAAGTCAGTAGCCCATTTGGCCTTCGGCCTCAAGGGCTATTGACTCAGAGCCCATTCGGGCTCGAGGAATAATTGTTAAATAGTCACCGTGACGAATTCGAGGTGACTATTCGGCGATATTCACGTCGTCTGACGCGACTAATTGTTTTAGTATAATTCCATTGATGATTATTCGAGAAAATAAAACTATTGATCAATTCCCAACTCCGAAACATCAACAAATCTGGCGGCCATTTTGAAAACTGCTAGCCTTCAATGTTATAATCACCGCGCGGTGATTATATCGGGAAGAATTAGGAGCGAAGCTCCTAGCCAACCATAGCACTGTGTCATAGCGCTCTATTTTCGATAACCATCAATGTAATTATACTAAATGTGGTTAATGGCAAAATAACTGAATGAACACACACTCCGGCATTGCTGTCCTTGGGTTCCAATGAATGGTAAATAACTGCATTGATCCTTAATATTTTTTTATTTTGTTTGTTGTCTTTAATACAGTTAGATTGGCTGGTTGGGGTAACGTTACATCCCAAGGCCGAGTTGAAGTCTTCTTTGAAGGATCCTGGGGGAGTGTCTGCGGTTCCGGATGGGATATGAAGGAAGCCAATGTAGTTTGCCAACAGCTCGGGTTTCAAGGAGCTATGGCAGCAGTTACATCGGCATCACGTTTCTCCTTCAAGTATAGCGCTCAGTGTGATGGAAATGAGACGTCATTAACGGAGTGTGACCTAACGCCTCAATCCTGGTGCTGGCCTGAGAGGGCGGCTTGTGTGGTGTGTATTTCAGGTACATACAAATAATTACAACCTAACAGTCCGGACCAAGGTCATGTGCGTTATTTGATATTTGCTTTCCTTAATTGCAAAACAACAGTTACGCGCGGTAACCAATTTGTTCGGCCTTTTCGTAAGGTTCTAACTCATTTCAAAGATAAATTTGGTCATGGTAGTTAACATTTTAAATAGGAAGCAACAAAAACTCAGGTAAAATTTGTTTTCCGTCACAAAAAGCTGTTTAAAGTTATAAATTTCCTTTTCAGATACTGAAAAAGGCCTCTCTAATAATGGGCCAAAAACGAAAACAGACGCCTTGAAAGGTATGTTTGATTGACTGAAGTAAGTAAAGTGAAAAATGTCTCTTTTCCGTGTAAAGTCCTGCCCTGATCTCGACGTCATATTCACTTACCTAGGTAAAATTTGTTTTCCCTCACAGAAAGCTGTTTAAAGTTATAAATTTCCTTTTCAGATCCTGAAAAAGGCCTCTCCACTGATGGGCCAAAAACGAAAACAAACGCCTTGAAAGGTATGTTTGATTAAGTGAAGAAAATAGAGTGAAAAATGTCTGGTACCTGTGGAAAGTCCTGTCCTGATCTCGACATCATATTCACTCACATCATTACTTTCATCATCCTGATCATCATTTAAAGCAGCAACAACAACAACAAAAAACAAAAATGTATACAGGTACCGAAGAAGAAAAAAAATTATATGCGAGATATGAATATACTGCATGTAGCAAAACAAATATTAAAAAAATGTAAAATATGATAGGCTAGAAAGAAATATTAAATGTTTGTTTATTTATTTATTTATTTATTTTTTTTATCACGAGGCTCCAGGTGACAGAGCCTCGCGTTCCTTCTGATGCAGAGTCACGGTTATTGCGGATTAGTGTTTTAAGGAGGACGAGAGAAATTAACATCCTGGCTTGTGAACTCAACATTTCTAATTTGATAACTTTAAATTCTCATTTTTTCTTAAATAGCTTCCAACTTCTATGTCTCCCCCACAAAGACACAGGTTCCTGTCTATACTGTCACCATGATAGTCTTGGGGGTGTTGCCTTTCGTTTCGCTTGTGGTCACTGGATGTGTAAGCTGGAGGCTCTGCCATCATTTATATCGAAAGAAAGAAAATATCAGGAAAGACAAACAGGAAACGATTGAGATGGTTGAAGAGCAAAATACTGTTAATGTTTCAAGAGAAAGCGAGACACCTCTGTATTCTGGGCTTTCTTCTGTGACCTCTAGTCATTATCAAGGGCTGCAGCACATGAACGCCTGTTATGAAAACTCAGATGTGGCCCAGATGAAGAAAAAGAACGAACTTCAAGCTTATGAAGAAATAGGACAGGTTCGTACGTTCATCCGTTACGTAAAGTTATTCCAGTTGCCTTTAATTTTAATCTAGATCCCCTTGATGTGAAGTGCTTTGGTGTTAGTGAGTGGTTATTTTCTGACGTTGATTGGAATTAAATTAGATGGGGGTATACCGTAACAATATTATAATACACATTTCTAAACAAGCTAGTCCCCTAATGAATAAGGGGCACCAAAAACCAAATCTAATAATTGTTTTATTATACTTTTAATATCCAGTTGAATATAATACCGACAAATCAAACACACCAGAGACATACTTTGACGACATTGCTCTCCGAAATTATACATTGCGAGCACAACTTACAGATTTGCTTCTTCCTAATTAACTATAGGCTCTATTTAGCCAATGAGAGTGCAGATATTGGCTGCAATGTATAACAACTCCGCGAAGTACGTCCGCATCAATTTGAAAGGAACATTTCAATCAGTGAAAACAGCATGGACAAAATTTACAAACTAGGTACAAAAATCTGTCATTCACATAATTGTGATTTTACAGTTTTGAAAGTCGTGCCAAAGCAAAGGCAATGCGTGTTACTTGATGCTTTCACCCGGAATTTCAGTCTTTTGTACTTAAGAGTTTCTCGCTCATTTTGAGTAATGTAAATAATGCAGTTTGTAATATATATGTTGCATTGTGAATGAGAGGTCGTGGATATAGCAGTACGTGTTCTCTTATGATCTAGACTCGGGATAGATGTGGACGTTAGAAAGGTAAAACTAAAAGCTCTTTAATTTCTTTTCATTTGCAGGCCTCCAGTGACACGTATGCAACAGTGTCTTCTAAATTACCAGGGGCACCAACGGGAAATTTTGAGAAAAAGACCTAAAAACAACAACTTAACAAGGCATGAATAAAGCTTTCTGAAACTATCTTAAGCATTTTGGGAGATTGCTGGGAAAAATTTTTCCGTTCCTCACTCCCAGCAAGACTGATGAAAGAGTTCCCAGGGAGCAAGGTGCACCTAAAACCTACAACCTGACTTCCCGGGAAGTTTCCCAGACATTACTGCCCAGTTTGGGTGTGGTCATAGGGCAAAATTCAGCCCTTCAGTGGAAGTGGAGGGGGGGGGGGGGGGGGGGGGGCGAGATAAAAATTGCGGGGGCCAGGGGAAAAATACACCCCCTAAGTGGGGGGGGGGGGGGGGAGGGGGCACAAGGGTACTCTTAAAAACACCACATAGCTCTGACTGTGCGTACAGATTCTATCTATCCCTTTAGTATTATAATCAACCTTGAATTGTCTATTTCACAGTAACACCTTCCTTCCAAGGACTTATTCCAAATCTCCCAGCCAGCCAAAATTTGCCTGAAGAACAGATATTTTGCGAAACAGATCCATTGGGTGCCCCTAAATTGCCAACAGCTCTTTACCAGACTTTACAAAAACACACTTAATAACAGGAAATGATTATTTACGTCATAACTGAGCAGTGATCAAGAACAATGCATTCCTAATTTCAGATAAAGTTTTTCTTTTTACTTTTAAATCTTAGTCTAGGCATATTCTGTTGAAGATCGAGTTTATATATAGGCAGTTAAATTAAAACTAACTCTTTTTTGTGGTATACGTAATATATAATATTGTCAAATAGTGAAATGAAACTCACGGCTAACTGGGCCAATTCGGAAGTACTGGGAATTTAGATTAAAACATAACGGCTTTTGCTGATCGTGATTACATTATTCGGAATTCTGTAAGCCAATTTTGCCATTAAACAAGTATACGGCTTTGGAATTTCCTGCCAACGATATAACTACCTATCATTTACGGTCCCTAGTTTCCAGAACTCCGCCCAAAAATTGTCAAAGCTTGTGTTTGAGTACCCCGTCTTATACATTTGCGGATCAATCCCGGCGTCCATTTTAGCATTGATAGGGAGCTTAAGCAACCTGGGATGACAACCATAAAGATGTGAACTACCTACAGCGAAGGCGACGAGAACGTAAAAAAGTAACAGTGTTAGATGTGAAAAGCTGAAGATGCGAGGTGTGAGATAAAAAGAGGGGGTTGTATAAGCCCAGGACTTATAAGTCGAAGTTTATGGTGTGTGATTTATATCGGGTTTGTTAATGGGGGAGGGGGAAGGCTTATATAGGATGCTTGTAAACGGAGGAAACTTAAATCCAGTAAAACTGATTACGCGGAGGCCACTCACATTTGTATCGAATTAAAAACAAAAGTCCTGAAAAATAACTTTAATCCTGATAATCACGAGCGGCCATTTGATTGTGGTATTTGTTTTGTGGAAACAAAACTTCCTTGGACACCCCCTCGTCGTCTTTTGTCAGTTGCCAGGCCCTGCTGAAGTCACTATGGGTACCGCGTGTTTACAACGTACAAGGCGTGTTCAGTAACTCGCATCTTGCATTTTTTTTATCTTGCACGTCCAATTTTCTATCTCACATCTCGCATTTTCTATCTTGCATCTCGTATTTTCATCTCGCATTTTTTATCGCACATTTCACATTTTCTACCTAGCATCTCAGATTTTTATCTCGCATTATCATTATTTATTTCGCAACTCGTATTTTCTATCTCGCATGTCGCATTTTTATCTCGAACTTAGCCTGGGTTTTTAAACATCATCCAGAATTTATCTCTTATCTCGCATGTCTCTCACAGACTTCCGTACACGCTTCATGGACATTGACATCGTGTGCAGCCTACCCCTCACATTTGAGGATTATTGGCTGGGAGCACTCAAACAAACGAAGACGAATTTTTCTTTTCCTTTTGAAATTGGGTTGCTGTCAGAAGAATACAATTCCGCGAAAAAATATATAATTATATATATTCGCCTTCGACACTTCAGACGTTTGACAAACTCAAGGAGAGGTAAATAATCTTACTATATCGCGATGAAGATTAAAAGAACGCCAAGCTTCTTCAAAAAGTGGCTGAAGCTTTTGCTGCCGACGCCGTCCCGCTCAGTTAAAGCTTCCTAACAATTATTAAGTACGACAATACGTTAAAATTTAGTACAATGATATCATCAGAAAATAAAAATTGCTCACGTCCAGAAATGACCAATTTAAAGTGATTGGACGCCAGGCTTGTAATGACGACTTTTGCTTTTAATTAATGACACTCCCTAAAAACGGCTTACAAACTGCTTGATTGGGGCGGATTACAAAAAGCTTCTTCAGATACGACTCAAAACAAAAATAAGACCTCTTTCCCCGGAGACTGTCTTCGCCCTCCTTCTGAAACCAGTAACGCCTAGCAACCAGGCAGTTGCGAGGTGCAAACTTGCACAATTCGAGAAACAAACAAACCTAGCTATAAATTTCAATGAAAAGCTGAGGAACAAATATTCAAAACAAGGCTTTACGTAAGATCTCTAGAAACTTGCCATATACTCCTTTTCAAGTATTTTCTAAAAAAAAAAATAGAATAAAGTAGATGATGACCGGTAAACGAGTCTTGATAATCATTTTTTTTTCCTGAATTAATTTTCAAAGACTTCAAAACTGAGTTCGTTTCTGCAGCAAACTGATAAATTGTAAGGTTAAATTTGAGGATGGCGGAGAACTGATTCTGAACATCCACGAATTAAGTGTGCATCACTTATCTAAAGACAAAGCAATCAGATTAGTTCCAGCCCACATGCATATTTAAATAAGATCAATAAAATGGCAAGCAATTTAACTTATATACAGCTGCACGAGCAACTTACGTTTGATTTAAAAGATCATTTTGATAGATTTTACCAACGTTTATAGAATGATATAAAATCAGAGAAGGCAATTACGTCTTTTCAGCACGTCTATTTAGCTTAACGAGATAAGTGAGATCATGTCACCAAATATTGAAATAAAAAGAACGTTTAAATTAATTTATCTTTGAGTGAGGCTATTTTAAACAGTCTCTTTCCATACTGAGTTTTAATACAATAGGAAGTCATTCATCTATTAGATCAGAGTTTGTATGTTTAGCCGGGATGGGTAGCCGCAGGTGCAATTGCAGTAAGAATAAATTGAATCGCGCTCCCCTTAAAACACTGAGTATTTAACGCTATTCACGGTGTAAATGGATGCGGAAGGAAGGGTAGATTTGGAGAAGAAGCTGGCAGGCAGAAGCGGCCTTTCAGTTGCGCTTGAATCAACAGTAACATTTATTAATCTTTTGTCGGCCATCGGTGGAAATTTGCTAGTTTGTTGGACGATATTCAAGCACCCTCGCCTTCGAAGCACGTCAAACATTTTCATCGCGTGTTTAGCTTTATCAGATGTCTTTATTGCCGTGTTGGGCTTTCCTTTCACACTTGCTGTTTTATTTACAGGACGTTGGCCCTTTAACAAAGCCGCGTGCAATTTTCAAGGATTTACTTTCACGGTGTTCGGTACGTTTTCTCTTGTAATAATGACTCTCACAGCCATCGCTCGTTATTTTAAAGTGACTCGGCCGTCATTGCATCCCAAAATATACTCCAAGAGGAACATATGTCTCTTTCTGATTGCAGCGTTTTTAATGTCAACGCCATTCCCGATATCATTAATGTTCAACGACGGGTTTTTCTTCCACCCTGGAAAATTCATTTGTATTTACGACTGCGACATGTTAAGCCCTGCCGAATGTCTCTCAATGGGAACATTTTTAATTATCGCGTGTTATGGACCAATAGTATACTGTCATATTTGTATTTTTCGCTCTGTTCGACAGCATAATATACAAATGGCAAATTCAAGAAGGGAACAAAATAAAGGAGTTAACATGCAAGTGGATGAGACGAAAATCACGAAACTCTTATTTGCCATAGTCCTGGCATTCACATGTTGCTGGTCACCACTCATCGTAATCGATGGAGTTAGCATTTTCACGGGCAAATATTGGATGCCTCGAGAGGTGTACATGATGTACACCTACCTAGTTGGTTATAGCAGCTCCGTGAATCCCGTGATATATGGAATATTTAACCCTCAGCTAAGGCAAGAACTTTGTCAATTACTAAGATGTAGGCGAACGAGAAGAGTTGGCGCTCAGTGAGAAGAGTGTGAACTGACTGACAAGTGATTTCTAACTATAA